GAGTTTGAACTCCAGAATCCCTGCAGAAGTGGATTGCACTAATCCCACAAAACTGCCCTCTGGCCTCCGCACGCGTTTTGTGGCACACATGTGCATGTGCATACGTGAGAATGCTGGGGCACACACACTATTTTTTTTTTAATTAAAAACATTTAGGATTAAATTGAATGATTTGAGCTTTTCTCCTTTGATCCAATATTTTTATACATTTCCAACTTTTAAAGCATTTTTAAAGAGTATTTGATTTTATTTTTATTTGTATGTGTCTGAGTGTATGCTAACAAAAGAAATGAAAAACCCGTCAGAGTGACCTAATTGCTTTCCACCTGAACCATGCTGTTTAGGCTAGGCTAAAACATTTCATACGTGACAAGGGCCAGGAGCTGGTAACACCTGGGAGAACATTGCCTCAAGGACAGCCAAGAACTGACCAATTAAAAATATGTCCATAGTATGCTTCATCTACATACCCAAGGACAGGTAGGAACGGGCCAACTGAGAACATACTTATGTCCATACTTAATTTGCATAATGATATCATGCTTATTGAACTTCCCTCCCTTTTGTAATCATTTGCTGCCCTCAATTGGGTCCAGGTATGCAAATTAGGTGAGAATTGGTGGTTCTGCAAGATTGTCTATAAAAAGTCCTGTAATCTCTGGAAGGGAGCTCCTCCTGCCCTCACTGCGTTGAGGGTGCTGGATGGATGAGTTCCTTGCTTAGGCTCACACTGCACTTTGGAATAAACCTTGCTTTTTGCATTCAAGTCCCCGTTTCCTGGTGGTCTCTCTTTGGGGGGCAAGAGTCTGGGCACAACATTATGTGAATGTGTGCAATTACCAATAGAGGCCAGAAGAGGGTGTCAGATCCTTTTTTGTTTTGGTTTGGTTTGGCTTTGGTTTTTTCGAGACAGGGTTTCTCTGTGTAGCTTTGGAGCCTGTCCTGGAACTCGCTCTGTAGACCAAACTGTCCTTGAACTCAGAGATCCACCTGCTTCTGCTTCCTGAGTGCTGGGATTAAAGGTGGGCACCATCGTGCCCAGTAGAACTGAAGTTATAGAAAGGTCGGTGTGAGCCACCTAGTGTGGGTATTAGGAACTGAACTTCTCTGCAAGAGCAGGAAGCATGCTTAACCATTGAGCCCTCTCTCCAGACCCCTTTAAAGCAAATTTAAGCCAGAGATCAAATGCTACCTCTTTGCACCATTACGGTGACTCATGGCTGTGATTCCGACTGCTTAGGAGACTGAATAAAGATGGCGAGTTCAAGGCCAGCCTGAGCCACATAGGGAGACCCCATCTCAACATAAAGTTAAAGCAATAGACCTGAGTGGTGAGTTTCTGCCCCTTGTATTGAGTCCCAGGAATTGGCATTATTTCTTTCTGTCCTGCTTCCTCCCTTCCTCCCTTCCTCAGAAAGCCTACGGTATCCTTTGTGGCTGCCCTCCTCACTCCACCTCAGCTTGCCCAGTGTCGTGAGACCAAGCGCTGTGTGTATGGCAATACATAACTGCAGCAGGGCTGTGGCAACCTGAGGACCTGTTTCCAAGCAGCATCCTAGCGTGGACTCTGTTCTCTGTTTTGTCCCTCAAGGGGGAAGTCTGCAGAACTCGGGTTTAGAACTTGCACTGTTTTGTCCATTTTAAGTCTTTGTTTTTGCCTCTTGTTTTGAATGTTAGTTCCCCCATGCTTAATTTATTAGTCTGTACCCTTCCTTCCATTAATGAGGTAGCTTTCTGTTTTCTTCTTTAGCTGATAAATCTCATTGCCTGGTAACTCTCAGGGGTGTGTGTGTGTGTGTGTGTGTGTGTGTGTGTGTGTGTGTGTGTTTGCCCATACACATGCATATGTATGTGGAGCCAAAGGCTGTCTTCCTTGATTGCTTTCCACTTTGTCTTTTGAAACAAGGTCTCTTGCTGAACCTGGAATTCACTGAATGGATAGACTGGCTGCCCAGTGAGCTCAGGAATCCTGTCTCTGCCTTCCCAGTGCTGGGATTGCAGGAATGTGCGGCTAGGCTCAGTTGGTAAAATGTTTACCATGCCAACATGATGACCTGAGTTAGCACCCCAGCACCCACGTAGAAGCCAGGAGTGGACCAATTCAAGTGGATCCCTGGAGCTCACTGACCAGCTATCCTAGCTGAATCAGTAAGCTCTAGGTTCTGTGAGAGACCCTGCCTCAAAAAATAACATGGAGAAGTAACTCAGGAAGACAGACACCCAGTGTCAACCTCTGGCCACATGAGGACACATATTTGAGCACATCGCCTGCACACTTGAATACATGTATACACACACACACACACACACACACACACACACACACACACACACAGAAACCATCCCAGAGAGCACAGAAACGAGCTCCCCACTCATTCAAACAGCCCTCTTCCTTCCGCGAGTGTTCTGTGAGAATGGCTGTACCATGTTGGGCTCTGAGGCAAGCTGGTCTCATCTTCCCTTTTCTGGGTCTACCCATCCCTGGTGTGGCATTCTTCCATCAGCAGACGTTCCCAAAGACCTGACCTCTTTCTGAGTACAGAAAGATTTGCCAACGCTGCACTCTGAATTCATGGGGATCTAGCACGGCATTCCTCTAGTAACACACAGAATATCTGCAGGGTAGAACCTGGGTTTCAGTCGATTGACAGATTCAGTAGATGGGTTGCAAAGAAAGACAAAAGAAAATAGATTCGGATTTGAATTGTCGTTAATCTGAAGGAAAACCTTTGGAATTTTGGTGCTGAATGCTGGAAATTATTTGGGTTGTGAAATCCAGGTGTTCTTTGTTTTGCCTGGTGCTGGAAAGATGGCTCAGTGGTTGAGAGAACACTGGCTACTCTCCCTAAAGGACCCAGGTTCAATTCCCAGAACCCACGTGACAGCTCATTAACTACCTGTAATTCCAGTTTCAGGGGATTTAACACATTCACACAGACATGCAAGCATGCAAAACATGAATACACATTAAATAAATTATTAAAAACATTTGTCTGATAGCTCTCAGTTCTCTGTGTGTTCTATTTTGAAATTGTCTATAACAGACATTACTTTTTAAAGATCTATTTATTTATTAATTATGTATACAGTGTTCTGTCTGCATGTATGTCTGCAGGCCAGCAGATGGCACCAGATCTCATTTTAGATGGTTGTGAGCCACCATGTGGTTGCTGGGAATTGAACTCGGGGCCTCTGGAAGAACAAACAGTGCTCTTAACCTCTGAGCCATCTCTCCAGCCCCAGACATCACTTTTCTGATGTAGAAACGTGTATTTGTGCAAACTTAGAGGCCCTGTGCTTTGTCATAGAGTCACAGTCCACACTGAGAGCGGTAGTGCCTGCCTTTAAACACTGCACGTGGGGGCTGAGGCAGGAGAATTGTGAGTTCAAGGCCAGCCTGAGCTTCTTAATGTGGCCGCCTCCACCGGGGACAGAGGAGAACATAAGTATCTATTCATAAGTTCCCAGTTCTCGGTTCAGCTCTACGTGGCCCTGAGCCTCTCTCTTACCACCTTGTGCATAGCTTATAAAAGGGGTTTCTTTAGGTGGGGAAAATCTTTCTGCATCTTTTGGTTGGTTGGTTGAGTATTTTTCTGTTTGTGGTTCTGTTTGTTTTCTCCTTTCTTGAGACACGGCCAATGTAATTCTGGCTGCCCTGGAACTCCCTGTGTGGACCAGGCTGGCCTCGAACTCACAGAGATGTTTTGTTATTTTGAGACAGTGTTTTCTGTCCTACTATGTGGATCCTGGGGACTGAAGTCAGGTGGTCAGGTTTTGCAGTGGGCACTTTTACCCACTAGGCCTTCTTGCCTACCCAGGACATCTTCTTAAATATATTTTAATAATATATTTGATGATTATTAAATAAATAAATAAATATTAAATAAAGTACCAATATCAATTTCTAAAGTATATGTAAAATCTTAAAAATTACTTTGGAGAATTTCACAAATGTGTTTATTTTTCAAGCTTTATATATTTGAATTCACTGTGGAGTTATTTTTAAGAGGTTTTTTTATGTGTATGTGTTGTACCCTTAAGACAACTATGAATTCCTCAACTGTGTTGTGAATAACAATGTGTTTTATTTGCTTAAGGAAAAATGGTTTAAATAAATATTCATGTACATTGAAAAAACTGTATGGAATGGATTCCATTTAATGTTGTGATAGTTAACAGGCACCAGTAGAGGGCGCTCCAGCACCTTTCCAGTAGCGGGCGCTTCATTGCGCCTGTTCAGTAGAGGGCGCTCCAGCGCACCTGTCTTGAATTATGTATGAGCTTGAAAATGGCGGTTTCTTGAAAGAGACCCACTTAGAAATATTCAGAGGTTCTACTGAAGGGTGCTTGTCCTAATTCTCCTTAACTCTGAGGGAGAAAACACTACTCTTGAATGTAATTGCCACAGCAAAACACATCTGTATAAAATAAATTTTGGGGACCTATCATGGAGTGGAGACTGAGACGGGAGGGGATAGAATTCCAAGCCAGCCTGGACTATGTGGGAGATGTAAGCCTAGCCTGGGGTACATAGTGAATCTGAAGACAGCCTGGGTAAGACCCTATCCTTAAAAGCATGAATAACTAAGGCAGGTGAAGGTGATTTCCAGAAGGGAAAGAGAAAAACTAACTCAAAGTTGTCCTCTTACCTCCGCCTGTGTATGCTGTCATGCACACACGGACGCGCAAAATAAAGGAATAAAATATAATTTATAATAAAAATAAAGATAAAAAGTTTCAGTGAAAATTTGTCCATGTGAAGAGGAGTGTTTGTGTGGTTTGAAATTGGGTTAAATACATTAACTTTAAGAATAACCAGTCCCGTGGCGGCGTCACAGCTGATTGTGACAGAGTCTGGATGGGGGAAGGGGGGAAGGGTTATTGTCTTAGATAGAACTGCCCTGTTTGGAAAGTGCTCACGCCAAACCTGCGCCTCTGTCGGGGCTTCTGGCCAAAGTCAGAGGGCTAGTCTGAATGGGTGCCGCTCATTTCCTTTCTAGATCCAAGAAGAAAATACCACGTGAGGCTGCTGGCTTACAACAACATGGAAGATGGCTACCAGGCTGACCAGACCGTCAGCACTCCCGGATGCGTGTGTGAGTGACAGCCACACAGCCAGACGCTGTGTCTCAGACACTCCCCTGGCCCTACCCTTGTTGGAAATTCAGTTTCCGCTACTACTTGTGGACTGGGTGAGGGTGGGGGATAATTTCTTTACATCTTCCCGTTGCTGGGCACATCTTGAATGAGTGGGTACTCATCAAAAGTGGGGTGTTTAAATTCTAAGTGCCCCTGTTTTAATTTTGCAAGCAGAAGACTGCTAGGAATTAACTGGGGAAAGGGCATTGGTTCCCTGCAAACTAAATTCCTTTCTGTCTGCTTTTTCCTGGAGGCCAGTTATTTCTCTGATTGCTTCTGTGTGTTCTTCTAGCTCTGGCTTTCTCTGCCTTTGACCAGTACCTCACTTTTCCATCTAGTTTTTTGTTGTTATTGGGGATTTTTGTTTGCGGGGGCTTTTTTGAGACAGGGTCACACTGTATAGCCCTAACTGTCTTGGAACTTGCTATATAGACCAGGCTGGCTTGAACTCAGAGATCTGTCTCTGTCTCCTAAGATTAAAGACATCTGCTACCACACTGGAGGTTTTTTTTTCTTTCCTTTTTTTTTTTTTTTTTTTTTTTTGAGGGGGGCATTGTTTGTTTGTTTCTTTCTTTCCAAGACAGGATCTCACTATGTAGCTCTGACTTTTTTTTTTTCCCTCCACTATGTAGACCAGACTGGCCTCAATCTCAGATCTGCAGTCCTCTGAATGCTGGGGTTAAAGACATGCACACTAAGAGTGTCTGGAGCTATTGTTTTTCCGTCAGCTAAGCAATTGACTGCGTGTCGAACTCACAGAAGAGTCTATTAGCTTGAGCGAGTCAGGGATAGACCACTACGAGATTGGTGGGAGAAAGGCCTCAGATCCACCGACACGGGGGTCTTCTCATTTCCCCTTGTACAACGCCAGCCCTTGCAGTAAATCCGTGTTGCCTTTCTCAATAGCTGTTCGCGACCGCATGGTCCCTCCTCCGCCGCCACCCCACCATCTCTATGCGAAGGCTAACACCTCTTCTTCCATCTTCCTGCACTGGAGAAGGCCTGCCTTCACCACGGCCCAAGTCATTAACTACACCATCCGCTGCAACCCTGTTGGCCTGCAGAACGCCTCTCTGGTTCTCTACCTGCAAACGTATGTAGCTTGTCTTCGCAGTTTTCTCCTTGACATGCCTGGCTGCTCACGCTTCTTACTGACTCGGGCTCAGCTTGGGCTTCATCTGGGAGCACTCATTTCAGAGCCGATGATCTCAAACGTCTGGAAGTTTCGGTTCCCATTGTTCATTTAGTTCTGGAAACTATGCTTCCTTGACATGAATTGATACGCTGACTCTCAGAAACTGTCACTGGCGCTAACGACCCCCTTAACTCTTTAACACAGATCAGAGACCCACATGCTGGTTCAGGGACTGGAACCAAACACCAAGTATGAGTTTGCTGTCCGGCTGCATGTGGATCAGCGCTCTAGCCCCTGGAGCCCCGTGGTCTACCATTCCACACTCCCAGAAGGTAGGAGCTGCAGCTTCCCAGTGGAGTTCGTCTCTTAAACTTTATTTATGCAGGTGTTCATTCTTTTATTCGTTATGTGAATGGGTGTTTTGGCTACATTATGTCTGTGTAGCACATGCTTAGTGTCTACAAAAGCTAGAAGAGGGCAAAGATGGAGTTACAGATGGCTGTTAGCTACCATAAATGTGCTGGGACTTGAACTCTGGTTCCCTAGAATAGCGGCTGGCTTGCTAACCCACTGAGCCATCTCCCCAGTTCCATTATGGACTTTACGTAGTTTGTTTTTTGTTTTTCAAGACAAGGTTTCTCTGTGTAACAATCCTGACTGTCCTGAAATTTGCTGTGTAGGCCAGGCTGGCCTCGAACTCACAGAAATCTGCCTGCTTCTGACAATATTTTTTAAGCTGGTTTTTGTTGTTTGTTTGTTTATTTTGAGACAGGGTCTCACTGTCTAGCCCTGGCTATCATAGAACTCAGTTGGTAGACCAGAATGACCTCACACTCACAGATATCCACCTGCCTCTGCCTCCTGAGTGCTAGGATTAAAGGTGTGTGCCACCACACCTCTCTTTATTTAAAAAAAAAAAACAAAACCAAAAAAAAATTTTAAGGACCTTTTTTTAAAATTTTATTTTTAGATAGGACTTCTCTGTGTAGTCTTGGCTGGCCTGGGACTCACTCTGTAGAACAGGCTGGCCTCAAAGTTCCAGAGGTCTACCTGCTTCTGCTTCTCCTGGGGTTTATGTGCTGGGATTAAAGACAAGCACCGCCACTTGTGGAGGTGGTCAGACGGCTTAGACATTGATGGGTATTCTCATGTACGTCGTGGGTTCAAGGGCAAGCTGAGATCAGAAGAAGAAAAATGGAAGTTTCTATGCCACTTTGAGAGAGCCCTGCCCCGACACGTACCAGCTGATATGTGCTTCTTCGTCGCCTTACCTTTTGAATTTTTTCTCTGTTATAGTTAAGGCTTTTTTTTTTCTTCTGGGAAAAAAATTCCAGGCCAAGGAGCTTTAATTTCTGTCCCTTTTTAATCTTTTTTCCCAGTCAGTCATGATGTTCAGACCTTAGTTCTCAGCTCACTAAAAACAGCTAATTAATGCTCTTAGGACCCGGCTCAGACCCCATTCTCCTGTGAGTGGCAGCCTGGTGCTGCGCCCAGTGCTGGGTGAATACCTGGCTGGTGTCTGTGGTTCAGGTTATATATAGTGTTTCATGCCCCTAACACTGCTGTGGTTTTGATGATGTCCCGTAAGAACACAGCACCAAAGCCCCTCTCTTCACACTGGGAGCTGTCATTAACACATGGAGTCAGTTGCTGCTTCAGGGCTTCACTGGTGTTCACACAGAAGTCATTATTTGAGTCTGTTCTGTAAACACGTTGATTCCCTGTGACTTGGGAAATAGCTAAATGCTTTAGTCTCAGGAGCATTTGCCTCAAGCTTTTTGGATCAGGCTATTCTAAACATTTTAGTAAGAGCTACAACGTAGCGTCGGTACCAGTGGGAGCTTTCTATACAAGATTTATTTATTTACTATGTATACAGTGTTCTGCCTGCACACCAGAAGAGGGCACCAGATCTCATTATAGATGACTGTGAGCCACCGTGTGGTTGCCGGGAATTGAACTCAGGACCTCTGGAAGAGCAGCTGGTGCTCTTAACTGCTGAGCCATCTCCCCAGCCCTACCCTCTTCTTTATGGTTTTTAAAAAATGTTTCAACCTGAAAGTAAAATTAATACTGGGGACATAACTCAGTAGCTAGAGTGCTGGGTGATTGCCTAGCGTGCGAGAAGCCCGCGGTTTTACCCAGTGCTGGGATTAAAGGTGTGCACCACCACCGCCTGGTTTACAATAGTTTCCGGTTGTGCAGGCTCATCCATGGTTCTGTTTGTCAGCCAGCATTGGGGTGACTGTAACCCTTTCTCATGTCCCCACAGCACCCACGGGCCCCCCAGTGGGGGTGAAAGTGACACTAATAGAAGATGACACGGCCCTTGTTTCCTGGAAACCCCCAGACGGCCCCGAGACAGTTGTGACACGCTACACCATCTTGTATGCTTCCAGGAAGGCCTGGATTGCGGGCGAGTGGCAGGTCCTGCACCGAGAAGGTGAGTGTGACCAGATTATCAAGGACAATGACAGCAAGTTATCAACATCACGGGGAGACCAAGGGAGGTGATACAGAGCCCGCGTTGGATTTACATTCTTCTGTAGAAAGTAACAAATTACTAAAGGTTTTGGTTTTGTTCAAAGAGCATTGGCAAGCCACCTGTCAATGCCGTTAATCAATCAAACAGTCAATCAATGAATTGTGCATGAGAGCAGGCACGCGTGTGTCTCAGTGCACATATGGTGGTCGGAGGACCAGACAGGATCTCGTTTGCTTCAGGACAGGTCGGTTCTCTTTCCACCTCCTGTTGGACTCTAGTGTCCAAACCGAGAAGGAATCGCCCCCAGAGACCACCTCACATACCACAGCCGATGCAAAAACATGAGGATTTTATTAATTCTGTCATGACAGGGTCCCTTAGCATTTGGGAAGCCGAGAGACCTCGAATAGCTGGTACAGTCTACTTTTAAAGGAGAAGGCCCCATAGAGACAAGAGGGGTTGTTCCTTGACCATTATGATTGGCTTATTCGAAAAGGGCTAATACCAATAATTGACTGGAGAACTTTTGTCAGATCAGATGAGGTAAGAGGTCATTTTGACCCCGTTTCCCAGGGGACTGAGTCAAAACATACGTGTATGGGTAATTGTTCAGGAACTGAGTACGTGCATGTGTAGCTGTTAGGTCCTTGGTTCCCAGGGGAGGAGGGGAAGCACTGAGGCACAGAAGCTGAGAGGGTTTGGAATTGTCAGAAACGGCTTCAGAATTGTCTAAAATCTTACACTCCCACCTCCCCGTAGGAGTGCTGGGATTACAGACACACAGCAACATCCAGCCTTTGGCATAGGCTCCAGGAATCAAGGTTGGCTTGGCGGGGTTGCTCAGCAAGCCCTTTGCCTTCTGAGCCATCTTACTGACCCCAGTTTTTTTTAAGTACAGAGAAAACCTGATTAGGACTTAAGAACACTGCTTAAGATTTTTTTTTTTAAACATTAGTCTGTTTTTAGCTGAGGATAAATTGCCAAATCCTTAATATTCTCACGGCATGCTTTTAACATTACGTTCTTTTTAAAATCTCCCATTTGGACATGTTCCGTATGGCAGAGTTTAGTAGGGAATCTAAGTGTTATTCTGGCATGCCCTCCACTCACACGTGCAGAGGAAAGGAGGGTTTGCCAAGCAATTAAAAGTTTAAGAAGGAAGAAGTGGTGATCTGTAATCCTGGTACTTTTGAGATGAAAAAAAAAAATTCTAATCTTAGGCCAGCCCAAGCCTATCTCATGGAAGAAAAACAAACAAAAAAATAATAATTTTTTTCAAGATAGTCCTGCTGACCTGGAACTCGCTCTGTAAACCAGACTGGCTTCGAATTCCCAGAGATCAGCCAGGCAGTGGTGGTGCATGCCTTTAATTCCAGCACTTGGGAGACAGAGGCAGGTGGATCTCTGTGAGTTCTAGGCCAGCTTGGTCTATAAGTGTGAGTTCCAGGACAGGCTCCAAAGCTACACAGAGAAACCCTGTCTCCAAAAACCAAGAAAACAAAAACAATCAAGCAAACAAACAAAGAAAAAACAGAGATCCACCTGCCTCTGCCTCCTGAGTCTTGGGGTTAAAGGTGTGCACCACCACCAGCTGGCAAATTTTCTTTTTTAAAAACATTTAAAATTTATTTTTAATTAGGTGTGACTGCGGGTTTGTTCATATGAATGCAGTTCCTCACATAGGTCACAAGAGGGCATCAGATTTCTTAGACTAGGCACTTGGAGCTACCATGTGGGTCCCCTGCGAAGGCGGGACCTTCTCTCCAGCCCTGTACGCTGAAGTCTCAGTGCTTGCAGGTCCGTATTTTCTGTTCTCACAGGTCCCACTAAGTAGTAACTGGCTTCTGAGGAGACTTGAAGGTACTAAAGATGGGACAGTTAGGTGTCTTTATGTTATCAGTGTCTCTTGCGACTTCACAGACCCCTCTAGAGCTTCAAGCAGCCGTTACATTGTCTTATTGATTCCATGAATCTCGATTACTAGATTCTGATAGGGGTAAGGAGTCTAGGAACAGTGGGGGAGGGGGGTTGGAGTCTGTAAAGAAAGATGAACCTTTGGAAACAAAGTGTCACCAACCTTGGCAGTGTCACATTTACTGGTTGCTGTCCCGTTAGGTACGGTAAATTACACGGGCTGCTCAGGGGTGTGAATGGGTGGAAACCCACTGAGGGCCCTTTAATATCAGTCAAGCTTATGTTCTTTAAAAATGAAAATAAACACGGGGTGGTAGCAGCAGGGGTAGAGAGGTCAGAGGACAGCATGGAGGGGTTGCTTCTCTCCACTATGTGGAGCCTTGGGAATCAAACTTGGGTCCTCTAGAAGAGCAACATTTTCAACCTATGAGCCCTCGCTCCACCCCCTACTACGCCATTGCTCCGCCTCCCCAGTGCGCCTTCCTCCACCCCCTACAATGCTATCACTCCGCCCCCCCCCCCCCCCGTGCGCCTTGGCTCCACCCCCTACAACGCCATCACTCCGCCCCCTATGGCAGTTCAGTTTCAGTCTGTCGTTTGCAAGATGGTTTATTGACAAAACACTTTACCAGATGACAGACCTGATTTAATGAGGTGACATAAATATTAAGGAGCCGCTTGAGCACGTAACTTTGAATTCTTCGTTCTTGCCTTTCTAAAAGGAGACAATATTTTCCACTGCCTGTTTTCAAATTGACCCATTCGGGAGTTTGAGAAAGAGCTCAGAAATGAATATCCTACCTCATTTCTGGCTCCATGGAGACGCGGACAGTAATTGCAGGCTTTTGCATCTCTGCAAACCTTCCTAACTACATAATTGTGTGCAGGAAAACATGATCCACTGGCCGCTTGGTGAGATTTCCAGGAACGTTCTTGTGAAAAGCTTTTGTTGTTCATTACATGTAGAGAGCTTTCTTTAGCGTTAATGCTGTGACTCAGAAAGAACAAGTAAATAATATAAGAAAAGCAATTGAGGCCTGGTTTTGAAAGAGAAAATACAAAGGAGTCAACCTACTATTACTTAAAAAGCAAGGGACACAGCTTGGAATAAAGAAAGCCTTGAAATGGAAAACTGTCTTTTGTGTCTGAACACAGCAGTCTTAGAAAGATAAGAGCATAGGAAACAATGGGGAAATAAGGATTTTGTCATATCTGATTTTTTTTTCCATTTTTTGAAACAGGGTTTCTCTGTGTAGCCCTGACTGTCCTGGAAGTCACTCTGTAGACAAAACAGGCCCTGAAATTGCAGAGTTGCCTGTCTCTGCCCCTCCCCACCCCCTCAACCCCAATGTTGAGATTGGCATCCATCACTGCTGCCTGGCTGACAATCTTTCATACGTGTAGATTTATACATAATGTATGTTCATATACCAAATAGACCAAAAATTTAATTCTTTTCCCGAATCAAAATAATTGTGGTAATGGGCTGGCAAGATGGACCATCAGATGAAGATGCTTGCCTTTAAGGATGATCTCCTGGGTTTGATGTCTGGAACCCACATGGTGGAAGGAGAAAGCAGACGCCTATAAATTGACCTCTGACCTCCACATACAAGCCTCATGTGCTCATGGGGAAACAGAACTTTACAGCATTATGTGTGTGTGTGTGTGTGTGTGTGTGTGTAGTAACAGAAATTGTTTTCGATGGGTGGAAAGAATCTTTTTACATATACTGCTGATTCCCTTACAAAATTTAAATTACTTGGGCTGGGGTTGTAGCTCAGCTGGTAGGATGCTTGCCTAGCTTGCATGAAGTCCTAAATTTATTCCCCAGCACTGGCTAAAACTGGTCATGGTAGTACATGCCTGTTACACAGTACTTGGGATGTGGAGGCACAGGGAATCAGGAACTCAGGGTCATCCTTGCCTACATAGGGTGTTTGAGACTAACCTGGGGTACATGAGAGTTCTTATTATAAAACAACAAAAAAATCTTTTTCCCTGAGACAGGATTTCTCTGTGTGTATCCCTGGCTGTCCTAAAACTAGCTCTGTAGACACAGGCTGGCCTAGAACTCACAGAAATTCATCTGCCTCTGCCTACTAGGTGCTGGGATTAAAGGCATGTGCCACCACCGCCCGAGCAAACTTTTTTTTAGAAGTTAAATGAAAACTTTGCTTTTGATAGTGTTAAGTTTTTGCCAAGCATTTTGAAAAATTAAGTGTATTTAATGATAGAACGGGAGCATGATTTTCATTTCTACTTGGGTCCTCCGGCAAGTTTTAACTTGTCATGGTCCATCTTTGTTTTGTAACGCCTCTGCCTGCAACCAAGGTACACAGTACAGTGTCTTCCTGCTTCTAAATAGGGCTTCGTGTGTTTATTTCGCAGTTGGGTTATTCAGGTAACTCACACTCTCTTCAGGCCAAGTTGAAACCTGAGACCATAAAAACAAGCCCCACTGGGCTCCTGGCACTGCCACCAGTGGCCGGGCTCTTCACTGTGTGTGACCTGGGTATCAGGGCTTCAGCTATAAGATTGCCCACACTTCCCTTGCTTATGAGGTACACCCTTGTAAGCGTTCCAGAAAAGCCAGCCCTGGCTTTACGGTTGACTGAAGTGAGCCCTTGTAAGCCTCCTGAAGCTGTTGTAGGTCCCTGTGCATCAGGGGAAGAGGAGAACGCTCCCACCCCACTCCAGCAAAGCCAGGTGTCCCTGTACTGGGCAGTGTCAGGACAGCTTTGTGGTTGGCTTTCTTAAAGAGAAATACTTTAAATGCAGAAATAAATAACAAGGTTCACACAGGAACCCTTAGTGAACCCTCTGGGAATTCCGACGATGAAGACCTTTGGAGAAAAGCCCTCTCAGGCAGATCAGCATCGCTCAGTGGGTAAAGCCCTTGTCAGCAATTCAAAGCCCCGAGTTCAGTCCCTGGGACCCACCTGGTGGGAGAACTGACAGTTGCATGCTCCCCGCTGAACTCCACATATATGCCATTGCACACACAGCCACATAGGCAACAGAAATGTGACAAAATGTTTTAAGAAGGGTTAACCTGTGAGGGGTCGTCAGCCTCTGTGGTTCCCATGGAAACCTGTGTTTTGTTTTAGAAACATGGTCCTTCAACATTTGGAAAACATTTGTGTTCTTTTGCACTTAAATATTTATTTTTTATTAGTTAATTTTTTTTACTTTTATTTTTATGTGTTTGGATGTTTTGCCTGCACATATATCTGTATATCATTTGTATGCCTGGTGCCTGTCTGCGGAAGCCAAGGAGGTCATTGGAGCCCCTGGAACTGAACTTACAGAGAGTTGTGAGCCGCCGTGTGGGTGCTGGGAATTGAGCCCAAATCCTCTGGCAGAGCAGCCAGTGCTCTTAACCACTGAGCTATATCTCCAGCCACATTTTTAAAATTGTTTGTTTATTTGTTTGTTTGTTCATTTTGAGACAGGGTTTCTCTGTGTACCCCTGACTGTCTTTTTTTTTTAAGCAAGGTTTCTTTTCTTTTTTTTTTAATATTTCTTTATTTATTATGTATACAATATTCTGTCAGTGTGTATGTCTGCAGGCCAGAAGAGGGCACCAGACCTCATTACAGAAGGTTATGAGCCACAATGTGGTTGCTGGGAATTGAACTCAGGACCTTTGGAAGAGCAGGCAATGATCTTAACCACTGAGCCATCTCTCCAGCCCCCCCCCCGACTGTCTTGAAACTGGCATTATATAGACCAGGCTGGCCCCAAACTCACATAGATCTGCCTGCCTCTGCCTCTGCCTCCAGGGTTCTGGAACTAAAGACCTGCGCCACTATTTCCGGCTAAAATTATTTTTATTTATGTACATGTATGTGTGCCTTTGTGGGGATATGCACTTGTGAGTGCAGGTGCCTGCAGAGACCAGAGGCCCTGATCCCCTGGAACTGGTGTTGTAAGCAGTCATGAGCCGCTTCCCGTGGGTGCTGGCGATTTAAGTGTTATGCTTGAACAATACCTACTCTTAACTGCTGAACCCTTTCTCCAGCCCCTGCTCTTGTTTAAGAAGGAAGAATAGGATCATCTAAAACAGATGTGTCCCTAAGTAGTTTAAACAATTATAATTAGGAAAGAAAGATGGGTCTTACACTGGAACATTTTTCTTACACTGGGTTTTTCAAGTCTAATTATAACTGTTGATCCAGGCTCATTACATGTGCTTTTCTTTCTTTATGTGTTGAAATGGCCATAATTAAATGTTCTACATGTCATGTGTATATAAGGAGTAAAGCATTATATAGGCATACACAATATAAACAAACAGTATAAAATAAACTTACATTTTAAGTACTCATTAAAGTGAAACCAAACCATATGTGGTGTTTAAAGAATTCCTTCTAAGGGATTAGAGAGATGGCTCAGTGGCTATGAAAATAAACTGCTCTTCAGACGACCCAAGTTCAGTGTCCTGAACCTGAATCAGGGCTGCTCGTAACCTGCCTATAACTCCAACTCTGGAGGGGGTGGGGGGGGCGCGTATTCTGATGCCCCTTGTGGCATCTGTGGGCACTGCACTCACATGTGCTTACTCCACCCCCATACACTTATACAATCATTAAAACTAAAACAAATCTTTAAAAAAACAACCAAACAAAAACCTTCACCTAAAATACCGTTTAGAGGTCTTTATGGCATGTCTATATGTGCACAGCACAGTGTTAAGTGAAGACATTAAGAAAGTGCTCAAGGTGAATATGGTGTGGATGTAGCTCCATAGTGGAGTGCGTGCATAGCATGCACAAGTACCTGGGTTCAATCCTAGCCCCTTACCAAACCAAACAAATTGTTTATGAAAAAGCAAACAGACAGAAAAATCTGTGTTCATACATTTGTACACACATGCAAATAATTAAAATGTCAGCAAATGGAATTATCAGTGTTTTCTGTATTTAAATGTGTTTTCCAAATGACCCATAATAGAAAGTCACTCTTATAATCAGGAAAAAAATTTTTTTTCTTTGTTTTTTGGTTTTTGTTTGTTTTTCGAGACTGGGTTTCTCTGTAGCTTTGGAGCCTGTCCTGGAACTAGCTCTTTGTAGACCAGGTTGATCTCATACTTACAGAGATCCGCCTGCCTCTGCCTCTTGAGAGCTGGGATTAAAGGCATGTGTCACCACTGTTCCGTAGGAAAAAGATTTTTTTTAAAAAAGATTTATTTATTTATTTATTTATTTATTTATACAGTATCCTGCCTGTAGGCCAGAAGAGGGCACTAGATCTCATTATAGGTGGTTGTGAGCCACCACATGGTTGCTGGGAATTGAACTCAGGACCTCCGGAAGAACAGTCAGTGCTCTTAACTGCTGAGTCATCTCTCCAGTTCAGAAAAAGACTTTTTACAAAAGATTTATTTCTATTTTTATTTATGTTTGTGTGCATGCCACATGCGTGTGGGTGCCTGTGGAATCCAGAAGAGGGCATTACAGCCCTTGGAGCTGGAGTTACAGGTGGTTTGCCAGCTGTACGATGTGGGTGCTGGGAATTGAACTCGGGTCTTCTGAAAGATCAGTGAAGACTCTTAATGGCTGAGCCATCATCTCTCCAGACCCCCAAGAGAAAAAACATATATATTTTTAAAATGTATCCTCAGAAAAATACTTCTTAAATGTTGGTCCATGTTTGTGTGACTTTAAAAGTTTACTTAATTTGTATGTTTGTAGGAGCAATAACCATGGCTCTCCTGGAAAACCTGGTGGCAGGGAACGTGTACATTGTCAAGATATCTGCATCCAATGAGGTGGGAGAAGGGCCCTTCTCGAATTCCGTGGAGCTGGTTGTCCTTCCCAAGGACACTTCAGCATCGAACCAGAGGCCCAAGCGTTTGGATTCTTCTGATGCCAAAGGTCTGGATGCTGCCACTGTCGCTTTATTTTCATTCCCTAATCCTTGACTTCAGCTCCCACAGCGGCTGCACCCCTTAGCCTGCACTTGGTTGGCTGAATTGTTGCTGGTAGGGTTCTGGGGTTTCTGGGTTGGATGGCTTTTTTCTGTGGTCCTGGAAGGCAGAGGGGAAATCACCTCCGAATGAACTTTCAGGTCCCAGATCACTGAGCTCCCAGACCTCTGTGCTCCCAGATCACTGTGCTCCCAGACCACTGAGCTCCCAGACCACTGTGCTCCCAGATCACTGTGCTCCCAGACCATTGTGCTCCCAGAGCACTGTGCTCCCAAACCACTGTGCTCCCAGATCACTATGCTCCCAGATCACTGTGCTCCCAGACCTCTGTGCTCCCAGATTTCTGTGCTCCCAGACCACTGTGCTCCCAGACCACTGTGCTTCCAGACTTCTGTGCTCCCAGCTGTGTAGCCACAGGACTGGATGAGCCGCACACTGGTAGGCATGAGCATCCTGGGAGGTTCTGAGAAAACCAACAGCAGAGGTGGTTGTGGTTCTAAGGCTGGGAGGAACCTGGCTTTTATTAAGAAAAACAACTCTCCCAGACAGAAGGTTGTTTTTAACCCAGAAAAACAGTTGGGAAGAGGGAAATATGACTAAGCAGCCACCCTCACTCAGGACTCTTAATGTGTACTCAGTCTAAAGGGAGCCAGTGCCCCCTGGGGTCCAGACTGGATACTTTCCTATGGAGAAATAGAGGGCAGCTTTAAGGAGAGAGGCTGCCAGCTGAACACAGGTTAGGGACTCTGGACCCACAGAGCACTCACTCAGTGGCTGGTGTGGAAGAAAGCAGGAAGAGCAGACAGTCAGAATTAAGAAGAAAAAGGGGTCAGGTGTGGTGACACACCTTTAGTCCCAGCACTCCAGAAGCAGAGGCAGGCGGATCTATGTAAGCTGGTCTACACAGTGAGTTCTAGGACAGCCAGGTCTACACAGAGAAACCCTGTCTCAAGAAACAATACAAAACAAAAATTAAAAAAAGAACAGGAAGGAGGTAGCTATTTTGGTTGAACCAAATCAGAGTTTGGGTCCCAGCTTCTGGAAGATCTGAGATTGCATTCTGCTCTCTGTGAGCACTGAACATGTGTGTACATACACACAGACACATACGTAAATTAAAAAATATAAAGAATATTTAAAAATAAATAAATTTGCTGTGCAGTGGTGATACACACCTTTAATCCCAGCACTCAGAAGGCAGAGGCAGGGCAGATCTCTCTGAGTTTGAGGCCAGCCTGGTCTATGAATCTAGTTCCTGAACAGCCAGGGCTGCTACACAGAGAAACCCTATCTCGAGAAAAACCAAATAAATAAATAAATAAATAAATAAAATTCTAGATTGGTGTTCATTGTTTGATATAATAGTATGCTGTCTAAATATGGTCTTGATCTTCAGTACTAGAAAATAAATTGACTTCTGTAATCACTGGCAAAAATCAGTTCATGACTTTTCTGTTTAGTTGAAGTGCCAAACTTTCCCTGTGAGATAAAGACAAATTATAGAAAAGCAACCATATATGTGAAATGTGGTTGTTTCTTCTTGATGTGGAAAGTTCTTCTGTATAGGTGTTGTTTTTATTGGTTAATGAATAAAGAAAGTACTTTGAGCCTATAGCAGGACAGAACAAAGCTAGGCAGGGAAAACTAAACTGAATGCTGGGAGAAAGAAGGCAGAGTCAGGGTGAAGCCCTGCAGCCCTGCCAGGGACAGACACTGGACAGAACCTTGCCAGTAAGCCACAGCCACATGGCAATACACAGATTAATAGAAATGGGTTAAATTAAGATGTAAGAGCTAGCCAATAAGAAACTAGAGCTAATAGACCAAGCAGTGGTTTAATTAATACAGTTTCTGTGTGGTTATTTTGGGGCTGAGCAGCCAGGAGCAAACAAGTGGCCTCCCACAACATCTTCTGATTGAGTAAACATGCCGTGTTTCCAGTTTATGCAGGTTATTACCATCTGGACCAGAAGTCAATGACGGGTATCGCAGTAGGCGTTGGCATAGCCTTGACCTGCATCCTCATCTGCGTTCTCATCTTGATATGCCGAAGCAAAGCCAGGTGTGTTTCCCTTGTAAAAATGCTGATGTAAGCCAGGCAGTGATGGCGCAGGCCTCCCAGCACTCGGGAGGCAGAGGCAGGCTAATGTCTGTGAGTTCAAGGCCAGCCTGGTCTACAAGACCTAGTTCCAGGACAGGCTCCAAAGCAACACAGAGAAACCCTGCTGATGTAGGCTCACAGGTAAAATGCCAAGTTGTGAGAGCCAAAGATCCCAGAACCCACAAATGCCAGCCGGGAGTGGTGCCTTCCTATCATCTCAGCTTTCAAGAGGCAAAGGCAGGAAAATGGTTGCGGCTCAACAGCCAGTCTGGTGGAAATGGTGAGCTCCAGGTTCAGCCACAAATGTAAGGTGGGGAAGTGATTTACAGCTGGGTCAACCTCAGCTCTCCACATGCATACATATGTGAATACGCGTGCATGCCACACACACACCACACGTGTATGCAAAGAAAGAGATGCTATAATGGTTAAAGACATTTAAATGTCAGCAGCTGCAGGAAATGCATTGAAATCAAGGCCTTGTAGAATCAACTGGGTTATTTTCCTCCTTAAAAGGAGTGTAATGTTATGGGGTTTTTATAGCTCGGAATGTGCTGAATTTACACTGAGATCATTTTCCTGCCATTTGGACAAAAAACTGCTGTGCCAATAAAAATCCCTAAATGAGTGCTTGGTTTCTGCATTTCTGAATCATTTTGAGAAAATGAGAAGTCTCCTTAAGCCGTGGGTTTTTGCTTTTGTGTCTATTTTAATGGCACACTTGTTCCGACACATGCCTTCCCCAGAGGATTCCTCATGATCTCATGTTCAAGTGGCCGCAGACATGCGTTAGTTACTAAGGAGGCACAGAACAAGCGACCGGAATCGCAGGCTAATGCAGTAAATAGAGGTATGTTAGCCATCAGCTATCCTGCGAATCACAAACACGACAGAAGTATTGCTAAAGATCTAGAATGTAGATTCCAAGGATATCTGAGACGTAGGCATTGAAGAAGCCCCTTGCTTCCAAACCTGTAGGCTGAGGAGCCAGCTCAGTTAGCAAAGGGCTCAGCTCGGATCGTGCAGTTCTGGGCTCTTTCCCAGCACTGAAGAAAGCCAGTGGTAGCTCTCGTGGTAGTGTGCAGGAGGCAGAAGCAGAAAGATTAAGGTCAAGAGGCTTTCAGGAAGGTTCAGGATGGCTCAGTGGATACAGGTGCTTGCTCACAAACTACCGGAGTTCAGTCCCACATGGTAGGAGTGAACTGAGTCTTGAAAGTTGTTCCCTTACCTTCACATGTTCCTATGCTTGTATATGCGCGCGCACGCACACACACAGTAAATAAATAAATGTAAAATTTTTTTCCAAGACAGGGTTTTTCTGTGTAGCTTTGGAACCTGTCTTTGTTCAAGGCTGGCCTTGAGCCCACAGAAGTCCATCTGCCTCTGCCTCCCAAATGCTGGGATTAAAGGCATGCACCACTACCGCCTGGCAATAAATGTAAAAATCTTTAAAAACAAAAACATTAAATTCAAAGTCATTCTCTTCTACAAGTTTGAGGCCGGTCTGGGATACACAAGTCACTGTCTCAAATAAAAGAAGATAAAGTAAGGTTGTTATTAAATGCCACATTTGGTACACTTGCCCATATCTTCCATTAGATGAGAAGGCTCTCTTTCCTTACTAATATTTCAGGAAGTCATCTGCCTCCAAGACAACACAGAGTGGAACCCAACCCTTATCCCGAGCCAGCGCTTCTGTAGCTGCAGGGAGTGATATGGGGAAGAACATGGAGAGAGCTTCAGAGAATGAAGAGTCCCTGGTACCCATGATGCCGAGCAGCTTCATTGATGCGAAGGTGCACTGCATAATGCTTCTCTGCTTGTGTGAAGTTATCTTAACAGGAGCATATGTTGGATGTGTTGTTGATCCTTATCAAGGCTTGTTAAAGCACTATGGACACCAGCTAGAACTTTCGCTTTGGTTTTTTGTTTGTTTGTTGTTTGTTTTGTTTTTTCTGGAGACAGAATTTCTAGCTCCAGCTGTCCTGGAACTCTCCCTGTAGACCAAATTGCCTCAAACTCATAGAGATCCACCTGCCTCTGTCTCCTCAGTGCTAAGGTAAAAGGTGTACGCCACACCGTGGCTCTGTCACCTCGTCACATTCTTCGCATAGCTGCTCCGTAACTAAGGTGACATGTGTCGGTCACCATTAACTGCAGACACACACACACACACACACACACACACACACACACACACACACACCCGTGTCCTGCAGAGCCAACCCCATGTGGAAGAGGTTTCTCCCTGTGATCAGCCTTCCTTCACAGACCCTTTCCTGAAGTCTACAATGATGAAAACACTTTCAAATTTTAGGAGCATGGATATTAATTCTTGCATTTCTTTATTTTGTGTTTCTGATGTATGTGGGCATTTGTATGTCATGGTGCTCACGTGGAGGTCAGAGGATTGTGGGAGTCAGTTCTTTCCTACTGGGTGGCATTTGGGACTTGAATTCAGGTCATCAGACCTGTGGCGGGTGCCTTTCTCCTGCTGAGTCATTTCTCCTGCCCACACGTTTCTGTTAATTTTACATAGTCATTTAAAAGGTATTTGATTTTTGCTGTTGCATTTGTGTTGTTTGCAGCCTCTTTTAGCTCTTACTTTATAAGTAAAAAAATCAAGCCCTATTCAACTTATTTCAAATTATTATAGGCCATAAAATCTAAAAGGTTGTGTGTGTGTGTGGACGCACATGCATGTGTTTTCTCAAGGCATGTAACCCATACTGACTGCAACTTACTATGTAGACAAAGCTAGCCTTGAACTGATTCCTCAGCTTCTATCTCTTGGGGATCAAAGCCAGGGCTTCCCTCACACCAGCCACGCACTGTACAAGTGGACTTTGTCCTCAGCTGTAGAGTCTAAGATCGGCAACTACTAGTATATACTGTGGTTCTGTTATTATCAGCTTGGCAGCAGATTAGGGGAGAAACAAAATGAAGGAGGAAATGGAGAGAAAGAGAGGCAGAACCTAAAGTCAAAGAAGCGAAGAGCAGCTGGAGGCCTGGCCAGTCCCCTTGGTTGGCCTGCAGATGACACCTTACTTTTGGGTGAATATTGAATCCAGGATATTGTTCCTCTTGACTGCTTTTAAACTATGTCAGTCATGCAAAAAAGGTTGAATGGAGAATATAATGAACAAATGCACAAATGATCATTGGTATCTTGTCATAATTCCATACTTTTGCTTGCTATAACAAAAACATGTCAGAGAAAGGGTTAAAAGGTACCTGGTGTGTGTGTGTGTGTGTGTGTGTGTGTGTGTGTGTGTGTGTATGTGTATGTAAGCCAAAAGAGGGCATAGGACCCCCTGAAGCTGGAGTTACGGATGGTTGTGAGCCACCATGTGGCTGCTAGGAATTAAACCTGGGTCCTCTGAAGAACAGCCAGTTCTCTTAGCCACTGAACCATCTCTCCAGCCCTGATGTGATTTTGATGGCAAACAAATGTCCTGAATATGTTTGCTTTTGTGTACAAGAGGTGCCATATGTGACCTTTGTTTCCTTTCAACATTTAAAATCTCTGTGTGCTTCCTGCAATGAAATCAAATCTCTAATTCTGAGGTATTTTCTCTTTGTGTTTCCTCAGGGAGGAACTGACCTGATCATCAATAGCTATGGTCCTATAGTTAAAAATAACACCAAGAAAAAGTGGCTTTTTTTCCAAGACACTAAGAAAATGAAAGTTGAGCAGGTAACTCACCCATGTGAGAATCATTTAGTGTCCATGACATAAAAATGATAATTAGAAGTAAGAGGGAAATGGGAACGTGAAAGTCAATAATCTTTGACCGACGTGGTTCAATTCTGACAGTGAAGAGCTGTGTTGAGTGCCAGCCAAAAGGACAGTTGAGATTGTAATCAGAGATGTGGTATTCAGCGGGGTGTGAGGACCATAAGAAAAGAGAGGGACATGAGCTTATATCAAAATTACCAGGGTTTTGGATTGTTTGTTTTAGATTTTTATTTTTTATTTTTAATTGTGTGTGTGTATAGCTAAGTAGAGATGTGCACATGCGTTCATAGGCCAGAAGAGGGTGTTGGATCACCTGGAGTTGGAGCTACAGGCATGTCAATCACCTGATGTTGGGTGCCAGGCACTACACTCGGGTCTTCTGCCAGAGCAGGATGTGGGCTTAACCACTGAGCCATTTCTCCAGCCACCAAGAAAGGTTGTAGCATTTCAGTTGGTATTGTAGTTCAGAAATGCTCCCAGCTGTCAGTGGGAACCAGGACGCAAACAGTCGTTCACAATGGCAACGTCTTTATCCGTACACGTGAACTAGCTGCGGCCTCATTGCTCCCTCATCTGTTTTTGCCTAGACTCCAAGAAGATTCACCCAGCCCGTGTGCTTTTACCAGCCAGGCACCACTGTGCTGATCAGCGAGGAAGACTCCCCCAGCTCCCCAGGCCAGACCGCCAGCTTCCCAAGACCCTTTGGGGCTGCCCTTGATGCTGAGCATTCGGCGAACAGTGAAGGCAGCCACGAGACGGGGGATTCTGGAAGGTTCTCCCACGAGTCCAATGATGAGATCCACCTGTCCTCGGTCATCAGTGGCACACCCCCCACCTCGAATTCTCTCGCCGGTGGCGATTCTGATGGAGATGGTGCAGTGAAGAAGCGCGGAGACCCTGCAGAGCCCTTGCCAGCGGAGCAGACCTCCTCCTTGGCCCCACAGCCACCAGAGTCCACGGGGCCGTGCTTTGCAGCCGAGGGGTTTCCCATCTAGACAGCCATGCTCAGGGATTCACAACAAGCGTCTGTTCGAAGGACAATGAACAGGGAGCCAAAGCCTTTTGTGAAAATCTTGATGTCTTACTGTTTATTGGGGTTTTTCTTTTTTCCTCTTTTAAAAATATTTTTCTAATTATTTTTAAGCGCACGAATTTTGAATGTTTCAGTTGTCAACAATGTGAAAAAGGGCAGTCAGGATGCTTGACTGGGTCCTAAGATGTATCACTGGAGCGGAGGGAAGACTGCCCGAGCCCTCTGCTGAATAGCTACCTCAGTTTGCTTTGGCGGACTCTGAAGGACTGTGCTGCCTCCTCCGGTGCTGGCTTCTCTCAGCGGCGTAGCCAGCAGGACTTCCTGGTGACGCCGCCGTGTGTCCGTTGTGTGTGTGATGTGTGTGACTGAGGAGTCCGATGGCAAGACGAGGAAGAATGTTGATCTTGAAGCTCTGTTTTTTGTTTTTATTTTCTTTTTTTTTCTTTAGAGCTGTAACGCCTTCATGATTTGGATAATGTTGTGACCTCTGGCTGTGAGGAGAAAATACGGGACCATATTTATTTGAATGAATGAAACAAAGATTTCTCTTTGGAGAAGCAAACTATTCCGTAGCACATAGGGATCATATCCTTGCCAGGCTGTTGGTGTTGGAGCGCCAGAGCAGGAACCTTTCGCTCCAGCCCACACCAGCCTGCCTTCAGCCATCTTCTCTTTGGCTCCACAGTCGGTCAAGGGCTGCGCTGTCTCTTTTGCAGGACAACTAAAGAGTTTCCGAGCTAGCTGCAAAACACAATGTAGAAAAGTGGATTTTTTTTTTTTTTTTTTTTTTGGAATGGTTCAGCCGGGCGGTGGTGGCGCACGCCTTTAATCCCAGCACTCGGGAGGCAGAGGTAGGCGGATCTCTGTGAGTTTGAGGCCAACCTGGTCTACAAGAGCTAGTTCCAGGTTAGGCTCCAAAAGCTACAGAGAAACCCTGTCTCAAAAAAAAAAAAAAAATATCAACAAAGTCCCAGTCTGGCTTCAGATGGGGCAAAAAAATGTCATGAAGTATTGAGAATGAAGAAACATGAAGCAGTAGAAAATAAGATGAACTTGAGGTTTTTGTAATAGCAGTGCCTTCCAGGATATTTTATGAAAAATTTTGCCTTATACCTTTTTAATATTCATGAAGATGTTTAGGAAAAAGGGTACCAAAAATTTGCCTTAACAAAGCTTGGCTCTCACCGATAGCTCTAACGTTATCTGGCACCTTGTTAGCGTTGTTCTCCTTTGGAAGCGCAGGTTGGCCCCGGGGATGTTGTACCCCACCAACCCAGAGGCTGACCTCTTGGCTTATTGTCCCACTAACTCCAGGAGTGAGTTCATCCTCTGCCTGGTTTGAAGTCAGCAAGCCCTTAGAGCAGGCCTTCTCAGCCACGAGGCAATAACTCCTGTGCTGAGCCACATAGGAGGGACAAAAAAAAAAAAAAAAAGAGAGATCCCTGAAAGAGAGGCGTGTCCTTAGCCTTTTAGAATCATGGGGTTTACCCTCCCTCAAGTTTTTGGGAATGGATTTTGAGTTGCATTTTAAAAGAAGGCCCCTCTGTGGGTTTTCCCCCTTGAAAGCCTCCCTGCACAGGTGGGACAGGTCCTGCCAAAGGGAGCCCTAGAGTCAAGGGAACTGCTGGGTAATCACCATGCTCTCGTCTCCCTTGACGACCCTACCGTGTGATTTTAAGGTTTGGGCCAAATTGGGCATGCTTAGAACCTGACCCACGGCTGCCACTTCTGAACGCAGTTCTGTCCCTGTCACTGTGGGCTTTTCGGCAAAATGGGGGGGAAAGAAAAAAAGAGAAAGAAAAGAAAAAGCAGAGCTCTAGGGAAATGATGGGAGGCTGGAAAAGGGCCTCCCTGCCTTCGCACTCCTGTTTATACTACCTCTCTTTAAAGTTATTCGAGTGTTATTGTTCTTTCCTGTACTCAGGGAATTGTTTTTGTTTTGTTTTGTTTTTGTTCCTCTTGAGCTCATGACGCATGGGCGGGCGCACTGACAGGGTATGGTGTTGTTTGGTTCGTAGTTAAGTGTGTGGGCCAACTTCTAACAGTATCTAAAATGAAGAGGTCTAATGGGATCGGTTGTTTTCAGTCTTCAAAAGCAAAACAGAATGTAATGGTGACACCTCAGGTTTAGGGCCGTGCGCATTTGAACTGTGTTCCCTGCCTGAGTCCTCTGAAAGGGTCCGAGGGGATGCTGTCCCAGAAGAACGTGCCCTCTGTTTTGATGAATCGGCCCTTAGTTACAGTAGACTTTTAGCTTGTAGCTGTTTGCTAGTTCATCTTTTAGCCTTTTCATTCTATTGTTATGCAGACTTTTCTGTCACAGTCCTGTTACCAAAGAATTTCCAGTAGAAAAATGAAATTTCTATTATAATTACCCTAAATCAAATTCACTAGAAACAGCTATAAATAATTTCAAGTAATTTCTAATCCTAAACTGTAGGGTTTATATTGATAGTTACATATAATTAGACTAGTGATATTAACTACCTTACTGTCTCCAGAGTGTTTAAAATAATTTGTAATTTCCTTGCCAACAGATGGTTACAAAGTATTTCAACTGTAGCTTTTTTTTCCCTTCAGCAAGTGAAAAAATCTTTAACTCTATAGTATTAATGTATTTTCAAATTTTTGAAATTGCTTGTTGGAGAGGAAAAAAACAAATCTTATCACTAAAAATAAATATTTTTGTCTCATGGAATAAGGTATTTAATGTTCAACAGAGGCTTTTGGCTTGGCAAAAGCAAGCTTCTTTGAAGTCTGAAGTACAAAATTCTAACTAAAATATTAAGGTTATCATTTCTTTCTTATGATACCATTACTTCATCATATTTCAACTCCAGATAAGCTGGCATGCAAATTGGTAACTTTTCATTTTCTAAAGACATTTGCTAGAAGTACTGATAACCTGCCTGTCATTTTTAATGTCAGATATTACAATATACTGCTCATCAGTATTTTCATACCAAAGACCATTAAAATATATAATTTAGCCTGTAAGTAAAGATGAGCAGATTTAAAATAAATTTATTTAGAAGCAGATAGGGAATCTAGCTTTAGTGGCAAAAAAAAAAAAAAGATGAAAAACTAAGTTTACATAGTTAAAGGCAATACAGTTATATTGGTATTTATCAGTGTTTTTATTCGAGTACTTTATATCAGCAAATTAAAAAGAAATTAAAACCAAAGATATTTAAGGTTACCTCCGAATATAGGGAAATTTAGCTGTACATTGAACTGTTATTTGTTGTTTTTTATGTTAATGAACCATCTCTCCAGAACCTCTCCTCTGTGTCCAGATTTTCAGTGAAATCCACTGGTTCAGCCACGGGGATATTTTTGCTAAATGGTGCTGTACTTGTGTAAGGCCCCGTGAGTGTGACGGTCACCAGAGAGAACTCAGGCTCCTCTGTCCCTGGGTACTGTGGGAGCCCCTAAATCCGCCTATATAATCTGCATTCCAACATAAAGTCATTCTCTGGTCATTCAGGTAGCTGGAGGAAGGCAAATGAAATGAGCCACTGTTTGGGTGGGCGGTGCTTTGAGTTAAAATGGGGTTCCTAAATTGTAAGGTTTTCATTGCATCAAAGGAGCTGAGCTTTAATCTCAAATGGAAACCTGGGTGAAGAGGGTGACTTTTTTTTTATGTAGAATCTAGAGATTTATGAAAGACATAAATGATGTTTATCTGTTAAATGATGTTTTTAAGTACCGAGAGTTTAGAGGCTGATGACATGTTACAAGCTTTCTTGCCGTTACCGCAAACACAAGCCCCGCCAGCAATGCGGCAGTGATTGTGTGTGCTTCATGTCTATGCTTTCCGGAGGGCTTCTGAAAAGAAAAAAAAAAAATTAAAAAACAATAATTTTTGAAATGGCTCATGGCCGACGACTCAGGAGCACCATTGAAGTCCTTAGGAAGATACATTGGAATCTCTGTGTCCTCAAAAGCGAGCATGGTAGCATGGTGCCCTCCTTTGACCAATCACAGTGGGCAGATAGCTGAGGTCCAGCCCTGCCTGCCGTGCATAGCGAAACAAGGCGAGGGGTGCCGTTCCAGGAAACGTGACCACCCATGGGTCGATCGGTGACCGATCCGCTTCTGCACACTTGCATAGCAGGTGTCCGTTTCGGATACCAGATGTGAGGGGACGAAAGTTTGAACTGTATTGTCAAAAGCTGTCATTTTTTCCGAGGCCAACCATGCGTTTTGCATATTTTCTGCCTGAACATTTACTACGTGTGTCTCTGATAAAATTGCTTTGGTTGAAGTCAAAAATCACCCCTGCGATCTGTGAGCACAGAGCGGCGGGTTCTGGAGACCTCCATGCACAGCCGTTCATCTAATTGTGGATTTATTGATGTTTAGAAGGCAACCATAGGTTCTGTGCCGGGTTGCTTATGCTCAGGATGTGAGTTCTCAGACTAATGCAATGTGTGTGTTACGTGCTTTTCTACCAGGTGGGTTCTGTGCCGCTTTTCCGGCAAACCATCACTAATTTAGTGTCTGTAAGCAGCAGCACCTAAATTATCTTACAACTCTGCAGGTCAGAACTCTTTTTCTTTCTGAGGAAATTTTTTTTTTTTTTTTGCTTTGAAATTTTGCCATCCTGGAACTTGCTATGGAAACCAGACTGGCTTTGAACTGGTGGCGCTCCTCCTGCCTCATACTCCTGAGATGATGGGTGTGGGCCAGTACCCCAGCTATATGGCTGCATTCCCCCTGAGAGCTGAGAGAAGAAGCCGGTCCCTTGTCTTCTTCAACTTTTAAAGGCTGTGAACTCATTTTTCTTCAAAACCAGCAACATAGGCCCTCTCCTCCTCTTTTTTCTGACCCCAAGAAAGAAAGGTTCTTCGGTTCTGAGTATTCATTTGGTTAGATTATTCTGGCCTTCATCGTCCGAGATGATGTCCTTAGTTTCCTCTGTCGTGTATTGTAGGATTCTCACAGGTTCTGAGGGTCCTCTGTACACTTCTCTGAGTGGTCATTGTTTTCCTACTACAGATCCGTCAATTTTGTGGAATTCCTCTCAGTAGCATGGTACTAGGTTTTCAAGATATAGCAAATCTGTTCCCTTGCCCCTGGAAGACCTTTAAAATGTCGAAGACTGGAAAAAATAGGCCCTGTAGTTTGTTCAAAGTGCATTAAAATCTGTCTCTAAGACCTTCAACTTTTTTTTTTTTAAGTGGAGGATTTGAGACAGGGTTTCTCTATGTAGCCCTGGTTGCCCTGGTACTCGCTCTGTAGACCAGGCTGGCCTGAACTCAGAGTTCCACCTGCCTCTACCTCCCAAATGCTGGGATAAAAGGCATACGCCACCATTGCCTGGCTCCTAACTCCACTCCAGTCTTATCTATGGTTTCATAGGAGGAAAAAATCTCTTAAATATTTGCCTCCAACTATGTTGGATTCATCAGAAAGTTTTGGAAACCCTTTTTCTCTCTTCAAATGGTCATGTTGCTGGAGCAGGGCTGAGTGAGGAAAGGATTCAACACATAAGGGATCCTGGATAGAAGAGCAAGACAGGGCAGAGTCATCCTTTGCTTTCTTTCCAAAACACACTGGTATGTACAGCCTTGCAGCCTGGTTTCTGCCCTCACTTAAATAGTGACGGATGTTCCACCTTCTAATCGGTCAGCTCTGAAGCTTCCCGTGGTCCTTGCCCCTCCTCACTCGGTCAGCACACGTAGCTGCTAGGATGTGCTGAACTTTTCCACCTGCTCCATCTTCTAGTTGTTCTTTTCCTGGATGTTTTAGACCCCAAAGCTCTAGTTCGTTCTA